CCACTTTCTGGTTGCAGTATAAGGCTTCTGGTTGTAGTATCGGGCTTCCGGTTGTAGTAGGGACTAGCCCCCCCCCCCCCCCCTGGCTCCGAAGCTGGCTCAGCGGCGCTGCTGAAGCCCAGTCCCGCGCCCAGTCCTGTCGAGCTGAAGGAGTCCTCTAGGCCTTCTTTAATTGGGCTCCCGTTTAGGGTTTAGGGTTTAGGGTTTGGGGTTTAGGGTTTAGGGTTTAGGGGTTTAGAATTTAGGGTTTCGGGGTTTAGGGTTTAGGGTTTAGGATGTAGGGTTCCTCTTCAAAAGGGGGTCTGTTGACGGAGTCCGTGAAGGGTCACATAGGGCTTTTCTATAAAGGTTCTAGAAAAGTCGCTCAAGGGTCACATAGGATATTTTCTGGCAAAGGTTCGAGAAAGGCCCTCCAAGGGTCACATAGGGTTGGTCTATAGAAGTTCTAGAAGGGTCCTTTACGAATTCCTCTGAAGCGTTGCATACGTTTTTCGATCGGGCTTCCGCGAAGGTTACTCTCAGGGTTCTGTGACGGTGTAGGGTTTAGAACTACAGGTCAATATAAGGAGAATTACCTCAAAGGCATTTTTCAGGTTTAAGATGGCAGGGGGTTTCCGGCTCAGAAGAGCTTTCAGACTCTTCGGTGCGAGCCCTGTCCTCACCTGGCAGACAGGGTCCGAAGCTCAGGGTCTATAGCTATGGCGATTCGGGATTTCAGGCTTTTGGGTCCACGGGATGCGTATGTTGCTGCTATCAGAACCATTGCCGTTTGATGGGGTGATACTTTTGGCTCTGCATGTGGGCTGAACGCTTCGGAATCTCACGAAGTTGGGGATTTAGGGTTTAGGGTTTAGGTTTCCCCAGCCTAGAACAACCCTCAGTAGCCGGAACGAACTGCGCCAAAGAGGAAACGGGCTAGCAGACTAACACATGGGTTGGTGCACCCTCTAGCCTCCGAAGTTACTACGAACCTCCACCCCAGAGCCCTGAATACCAGCTCTTCGCTCCAAGACAAGTGAACTTGAAAGCCGCAAACTTTCGGCCCCAAGCTCAATCCCGAACCTAGCACCCCTGAAACACCTGAACCAACCCGGACTCAGCCCACAACACCCGGAACCTTTCTCACAACGCCCCCTCGACTCCACCAAGCCTGACTACTTATGAACCCTTCCGCCTGCCTTTTTGGGCAAAGGCTGGCTTCTTGCTCAAGACGGGCACCGTGCCTGGACCAGCATGTGGTGATTTATTAACAGTAGGGCAATAGTAGTTGCAAAGAATGTCCACGCTTCGTGGAAAACTATCAGTAGGAGCATCTCGCTTTGACCACTGCAAAACCTTCGCTTGCTTGTCATGTCTTGCTACAACAACCGAAAACAACAGAGGTGAGTAGGCTTTCTGAAGTTAGGGGTACCGTATTTAGCTTCTTGTCTTCTTGGTAATTCATGCCATCGTCAAAAAGGAACCCTAAATACAGCATATTAATAGAAGTCACTTGGGCTTATAAGCATGGTCCTCCATTTGTAGTAAATATATGGACAACTGTAAACTTGAAGAGCAGAGGCGTATTCGTAGTGGCGGAGACTGGAGCTAGGACGGTGTACCAGAGGAAATTATCTGTATACGGACTGTAGGGTCCTTTTACCGGTCGGCAGAGACCCTTTCCTAAGCTTTTGGAATATCCCTGTGACATCGGAAGCCAGGCGTACATGGAAGTGCCTTTGCAGAAAGCATCTGCCGATTTAGAGCGGAATGTGCCACCAAGCTGCCGCTGCACGTTCCGCCGCTGGAGGTGTCCTCCTTGTCGCTATCTGCACTCTTCCAATATGGACCTGGACAGATTCTGCAATGTGCAAGCAAGAGATGGGGAATGCGTGGTCCGATCACTTCGGCCAGATGCGCTTCAAACCTTCTGCCATGTGATGCAGTTCAGAAGTGCCTGCCTCATCTTTACGTTCCGGGTTGCGTGGGCTATGTGAGGCGCACATCCTTAGCTTGCTACACCCGAAAGCTGAAAACCTGAGCACCGGGCAAATTGGGTTCTTCAGATTCACCCGAAACAGACGGAAGAAGGTGGTGTTCACCTCGGCTCTTCTTGAAGACCCTAAACCCCTAAACCCTAAACCCTAAACCCTAAACCCTAAACCCTAAACCCTAAACCCTAAACCCCTAAAACCTTGATGTTGAGGCCGCACAGGCCTCTGACCGTAGGGCGTGGCCCCGCTACCACATGATGGCCCGCGATAATACAAACGTCAAGTCACTACGACTGATCAACAAAAATCCTGCATCACCGTACATATCCTAAACGAAAGGGCTTGTGGCATAAACCTTTGTCCATCAGCTACAATCTCTCAGACAAGCCTGGTTTCGAACAGCCGCAGCATGGCCAAACTCGTTTGCCAAGCCCCGCAAAAACCCAACCAAACGCGTCCAAAACCCACGCCCTGCATCCTGAACCCTACGCCCCAAACAACCGCCCCCCACCCCTCACAAAAGGAAAGCTGAAACCCTTCAAAGCAAGAAAAAAAATGAAGACTTAAAGCCCAACAGCACCTCCCTCCCGTAGCACCCCCAGGGCCTTGCCAGCCGTAAAACAGCCGAAGCAAGGTTTTGGGGTATACTATGGTAGAACTGTAACGGACTATGATTCCATAAAGAGGTTCTGATTGAAATTATTCAGACAGTTGTCTCTGTATCACGATGTTTAAACGGGATTGATGTAAGGTCTACTAGAACCAAAGCTTTGGGATTGAAGTGATTTAGCAGGAGTCCCCATACTTACCAGGGTGCTTCGCCTCACAACACCCTTTGCTAAATCAAACCCTAAAAGCCCTGAACTGTCCAGATCTGGGGCACCAGGTCATGCAAGATCGGGTGCAGCTGCCTCAGATTCGCCACCTGCTGCAGACGTGCCCTTGAACCCCTAAGTCACAAACCCAAAACCACGAACGCTAACTAACCCTAAACCCCTAAACCCTAAACCCTAAACCCAAACTCTAGACCTTAAGTTCCAAACCTTCGAATCCTAAAGCCGAACCCCAACACCCCAAAGCCTAGCGAGGACTCCCCTGCGCCCCGGGTGGGCGAACACGTTTGAGTCAAGTTTCTCGGGGGCTCCTGGTTCAAGGGTACAAGGTTTAGGGCTTACTGTATAGGGACTGTATAGGGTTTAAGGTCCCTGATTCAAGGGTGTAGGGTTTAAGGTTTGAGGAGCAGGCCAAGATCTCTTTTCGAAGGCACAATCGGCTGTGATGTTGCATTCGGCTCTGCTCCACGAGAATCTCGTATTGGTGCCAGGGTTTAGGGTTTAGGGGTTTAGGGTGTAGGGTTTAGGGTAAGGTCTAAGACATCTGTACAACGTCAAGCCCTTCATGAAGAGCCCTGCGTGGACACGCTTATCTAAATCCTACGTGACTTGACTCTGAAGGCAACCCCTAGAGCCCGATCCCCGAGACTCTGAAACGCCTTTGACCACAACCCTAAAACCTAAACCCCTAAACCCTAAGCCGGAAACCCGAAACCCTAAACCCTAAACCCTGAACCCCTAAAACCCTAAACCCAGGCCGGGTTGAGGGTTGAGGGCGCAGGGTTCGAGCGAAAGGGTTTGGGGACCTGGACAGCATCCACGTTGCATGTCTGCGCGGTGTCTCCGAGATCCTGGCTTAGGGTTTAGGGTTTAGGGCTTAGGGTTTAGGGCTTAGGGGTTTGGGTTTAGGGTTTAGGGCCTCGGGTTCAGGGCTTTATAGGTTTAGGGTTTAGGGCTTAGGACCTAGGATCTACCTATCCTGGAGCTCCGGGATTTTCGGTTGCTCTGATCCGGCACAACACACGCTGCAAGCTGCGACCGAGGCCCCACTCCAAGAGCCCGAAGCAGTTCATGGAAAACACATGGGTAGTTCTATAAATTAGGGTCCCTTTTTAGGTTTTAGGGTTTCGGGTTTAGGGTTTAGGGTTTAGGGTTTTAGGTCTTAGAGTTTAGGCTTCAGAGTCCTCACTGCCACTGAGGAAAGGCTTCCGAGCCAGGGCAGAAGAGCAGAGTAGCAGGAGGAAGCATCGAGCCATCATTTCCGGCGGCCTGGAGACCCTGTGAGCTGTGTATGTGTGGGTTGCAGCACGAAGTACCCTAAGCTGCATTAGACTATAATATTTAATAAGGAGCCCCCCAACATAGTATCGGTAATTAATTATTTAGGCCCCTCTAGTACCCTAAGCTGTAGTCTGCAACAAAGTTGGTTGCTGTTGTGGACTTTGGCTGGCAAGGGCTGAAACGGAGGTCGGTAGGTTGCTGCCTCCAGGCTAAAACCGGAACTGTTAGGCTTGTAGGTCGTTGGGGGCTCCCGGATACACTCAACTTCTAGAACTGCCTCGTCCAAGTGTTCAGGCCTAGGGTTTGTGTGCTTTGTAACGCCGTCTGGTAGGCTGTCTGCCTCAGCTCCATGTTCCGGCTGTGGTGCACATTGAATCCGAAGCTTAAGCAAAGATCATTTGCGGGGTCTCATCGAGCTGCGCAATCGAATCCCCCAAGGTGCAGCTCTTTAGTCCTAATACCAACAGTCTACAAACTTTCCAGATCCTCGTCGAAGTCTTCTGAGAAGACATGGCCATGCCCTATACAAGTGAACCAAGTCGCTTGGCAAATTTGAACCGATGCTTTACATTGCTTTCTGAGATTGAAACCGTAAACCTAAACCCTGCACACGAATCACAGACACTCTTAGGCCCTGTCTTAGGCACTAGATTAAGCCTAACTAAATCCCCTAGTCCCGAAACGCTACTTTCGGTTTGGGGTTTATGTTGCAGGAACGACCGCAATTAAGTAATCAGAGTACGCATGGCCCCTCCTACGACCGAATACCTGGTATCACATCATCCTTCCAGTAAGGAATAAGGGCCGAAGCGGGTTGGGTCTAAAGCCTACCGGTTGCCGGTCGGCTTCTGAGTAAGGCAACCTCAAACCCCGAACCCGTAACCCCCCCCCTCTATAAACTGTGCGGGCTTCAAATTTGGGGCTTGAAGTCTACAACAACTGGCGTGTCAGGGCTGTGGAACTTGGTGCTGGGCACCCAACAGCCTAGTTGGCTTCCCCCTAAACCCTAAACCCTAAACCCTAAACCCTAAACCCTAAACCCTAAATCCCCAACCCCAAAGAGCATAGACAACCCCAAACCCATCGAGTCTCAGACCCCTGAAAGCCCTCAGAAACCTCGAAACTCTAACATCCAAAACACCCAGGTCGCATCGCGTGATGGACCACGTCAACCCACAGACAGAGGCAGTTTGGGCTTGGTTTTGGGTTTGGGTTATTTTTTTTGCTTTGGGGTGGTTCGGGTTCAGGATCCGTGGGTCTTTACCTCCGAGGATTGCCGCAGAGACCATGCCACGCGTAGAGAAAGGAGACTTTGCAGGATCCGCTAGCCTTGAGCCCTAAATCCTTAAGCCCCTCGCTGTTTCTAAACCCGAAACCCTAAACCCTAAACCTGAACCCTGAACCCAAAGCCCTAAAACCTGAACTCTAAACCGTAACATCTTAATTGAACATCATCAACTGAAGAGGCAAGAGATCCCATGCTTCACCCGCAACTGAGAAAGCAGGTAACCAAACCCGCCTATAGTAAACCTTACAATTCTACCAAACCCTACACCCTGAATGATTCCTTTTGCGATCAGCCTACATAGGGGATCTTAGAGTAGTTACCCTGAAGCGGTGCAGGGCGTGCATGATTTTTTTCTCAGACCAACCCGCTGGAGGTGGTCTCGAGAAAGTTGTCCTTGGTATTGCGGTTCAGGATGTGTTGTTTCGGGTTTGGGATTTCGGATTTAGTGTACGCTAAGCTTTCGGATGCAAAGCTTAGGGCTTAAAAGGAGTCAGGGTTTGGGGATGTAGATTCTGGCTTGAGGTAGCTTGCCGAATCGACCAGCTGCAGTCTTCCATGACTTCAACCAGAAATCTGTAGCCTTCGAGCTAAAGACATGCAGAGAAGATGCGGAATCATGCAGAGAGACACCTATTTCGAGAGGTACGAATTCTTTCGATACAAGCTGGGGCCTCGTCCGCTATGCAGTTCATACCGGCAGTGCACACCGTTTCATATAAAGGGCTCAGTGACTTAAGGACGGCTTTGGTTCAAGCACCCTATTATGTTCAGCAGTACAGCTAAAAGTTCAAGACCTTGCACCCTAAAACCCTTGCACCAACGTCATGCGCCAAATCTTCCAGCTCGGGCCCCCGAGCCTAGGCCCTAACGTCTACCCCAAATCCTCAACCCTTAAAGCCATAAACTGCAATCCTTCCTAAACCTGCAAACCCACCCCCTTGCCGGAAATCAAATTCTCCGTTTCCGGCAAAGCTCCACGCGCAGGAAGAGGGGAAGCTCTGTCCGCTCCTCGCCGTTCCAGGCAGCACCACACGCTTCAGAAACCAAAAGTTATTTACTTCGAACATCCCACCCTACAGATAATGCATCTGGGGGCCACACCACTGACTGGCGTTACGGTCGTGGGGTCCCCGCCCACATACCAAAACACAAGTGTTCGATTCACGTCAGTCGACGATCCAGGGGGGCACGCCACCGACTGGCGTTAAGGTCCTGGAGTGCCCAGGTTGGGCACTCCAGGGAGTCTCACGGTAGTCTCTGAAATTCGGCACTCCAAGAAGTCTCACGGTCGTCTCTGGGGTTGGGCACTCCAAGGAAATCTGACAACCCCACACCGAAGGTGGGGAAAAAACCGTAAACCTTCAACCCTAAACCCTAAACCTTCAACCCTAAACCCTAAACCTTCAACCCTAAACCCTAAACCTTCAACCCTAAACCCCAAACCCAGACGTCGGATGTTTCGGGCGTGGCTTAGGATTTCAGGGCTCCCGGTCTTGGAGATCTCGGGCTCCAGGTTTATTAGTGTTTAACGTAGGGTTTAGGGTTTAGGGTTTAAGGTGTATTAGTGTAGTTTAATGTAGGGGCCTTAAGAATTAGAAGAGGGTTTTGGGCTCCTTTATAGTATTATGATAGTAAGGAACCCGAACAGAAATATTGGTCATTGTTCAGGCTTCTATATTAGGGGTTTCAGGGTTCCGGATTCTTTG